AATGACAGCTCTGTCTAATAGATGCGCATTACTTGAGAGGAAATCAGAGGGCTAGAAGACGAAGAAATCAAAAATGTCGCTGTTATCTGTCACAGCCGTAGAAAAATTATGGTGTCTAACTCGCAGGGAATGCTAATTTCCCACTCGAATGATCGCAGCATTATTGGCCTACGGCTCAGGCTGCAAATTTCATTCTCGGGGAAAATCACTATCATTCCGTTCTCAGTCCACTCGCCCTTTGCGCTGGTAGAAATAATCGTTCGCGTTTTTTTGCGTCACTAGATGGCGATAACATGACTAGATCCTTTCGTACGGAAGCGCTAAATGCCAGTTCAAACTGGCAATTATGGGTAATTGCCAGTTCAAACTGGCAATTATGACTAATTGCCAGATCAAACTGGCAATCATGGCTAATTGCCAGATCAAACTGGCAATTATGGCTAATTGCCAGATCAAACTGGCAATTATGACTAATTGCCAGATCAAACTGGCAATTATGGCTAATTGCCAGTTCAAACTGGCAATAAAAGCTAAATGCCAGATCAAACTGGCAATTATGGCTAATTGCCAGATCAAACTGGCAATTATGGCTAATTGCCAGTTCAAACTGGCAAATATAGTTCAAACTGGCAGTTATAAAAAAAAGTATCATGTCCGTTCAGCGCTTTCGTATTATTCAGTCTCAAAATTGAGAAAATAATTTCTTGTTTATGATTACAAGGATGAGGTATGGCAACAAATTAATCGTAGAAGGAAGGCCCAATCTGAGCTATCAGTAATTTACATTACCTGTATGGAGACACTTTCCAATAGGTTAGACTACAGGGCAGCTGGGGCAACAAGAATCAAGTATATAGGCACAGAATCAAAACCTTACTATTGAAGGAGATTGGCATTGAGTGATATTGATTCAGTTTCATCATCAGGGGCTTTGTGTGAGAAATTGAAGGAATCAGATTCATCAGGTCAAAGTTCAAATTTTCAAGTCAGGTTAGTATCAATGATGAATGACCTTGAGGTTGCCAATATTTCAAATTGTCCTGCAAGCGGCCCGCCTGCAAATCAGAATATAAATTTCGAGAATAAATCTGATAGAAATAAACCGAGGAATTCCACTGTGTCTAATTCAACTCCAAATAATTCTCCTGATTCCCCAACTTCTTCAGTTGTGGCCCCCAATACAAATAAAAATAATAGAGAAGATTACCCACCTGTCTTCCGTTGTAAGATACCGAATCACACTTCTCGAGCCTGCAGGTCAGAATAAAAAAGTAAATTTTGTTTTCAATTTGGAGCACTTGATGTAGTGATGAAAGATTGTGGAAGACGTGGGGAAAACTAATAGAGGGGATTAATGATTGAGGCTCAACATTCTTCAAAATTTTCAAGGCAGAATTTTCCAAATTTGAGTAACATTGATGGAATGAAATAGGAAGATTTTCAGAATGTTGTAGCTACCTTATTATCGAAAGAATCCAATAATAATAATACGTCATATGTGAAAATTCTACTCTATGACGTAGATGTCATTGCTCTTCTGGGCAGTGGTGCCAATATGTCAGTCATGGGTCAGGGAAGTTTGAAAACAATGGAAATTCTTGATTTACTGATCAGAATTCCTCAACTGAACCATTTAATCACTGCGGATAGAGCACATCAACATGTTGATCGAGTAGTAGACTCACCTATTCACATCAATGGTAAAATTCAAATTATTTCAGCATCAGTAGTACCTTCCTTGTCACAATTATTGATTTTACAGGAGCAGAATAGATATATCAAATGAAGGGAATTATCAACTCATTTGAGGGCATTGGTAGTGATACTCATTCAGCTCTGACTCAATAAATCAGAAATTATCATTTTTATTATTATTATCTGGCAATGAGGGCAGAGGCAGAGCCTATTATGCTCAGAAGTATAAATGCACACTACAGTACAAAGTGAGTTAGGATGAATCGATTCTGTGGGCTCCTCAACTTCCTTGATAATTCCAAGTGATTTTGTTGTGTAACTCAGTTTCAAACCTCCTATGCAAAATTTGAGGCAATCTCCTCATTGGTGTTATTTTTGTTGTGACATTTTCATTCAATGTAATATGGTGGTTATGTGAATAACTTTTTAACCCTTCGAAAGCTCTTACTTATACCTTCAGATTTGAAGCTCACCTTCACACTATCCACTCAGTAAATCGAGTTTATTTTGATTCAATCTTGTAACCCTAACAACGTCAATCGATTCTTGGTACTAACTACTACGAAATTAGTCATTATCATCATCATATTCATAATCAATCTCATCTGCCACTTCACAAGAAAGTGCTACTTCACGTATCGTTTCTACCTTGAAATGAGAACTACCATACGATATTGAACATCTGATTTTCGAACATCACAAGTAGGATTCATTGTTTTCAGGATATCAACTGGCCAAACATCACCCGTGTCGAGTTTGAACTGAATAAGTTCACCATTGATAAATACCTTCTTTGTCCAAATATTCATATCAGGACCTCTCCAGGAACCTATACTCTTTAGAATAGAATCAACATAAAACACTCTTCTCTCTCAAGATTATTCTCCTCTGATTTCTTCTCTATTACTGTGAATCGCTTTTCTGACCTACACATGCTCGCAAAATTATTTCTTCCTTGGCGTTTTGTTTTGTTGGCTGCGGGGCACTTTTTTGTCCGATGTTTGTCCCTACAGTACTTGCAGATTTTCATGTACTACCAGCTGTAATTCTCATTCTCACTGCATGCACACCTGCCCCATTTTGCAACGCTTGTGACAGCTTTTGCTGGTTTGGGTCGACAGAAGCTTATGGCCTTGTCTGAACTCAAGTTACACTATCTGAAAAGACGCTGGTGTCTAATAATGCTTCTTCCAATTCTGTAACGGAATTATCGATAGGCTGTCCTTCCTTTTGTGTAATACTATTGTATTCGAATCTTTCAAAGATAACATTATTTTGTGGCGAACAGTACTCATAATACTCTATCTCCATAGATTCCAGTGTTCTCTCTTCACCTTTATTGAATGACAGTGTGTTGTAAAGCTCTAGTGCTTTGTAACTAGTCAGACTCAAGAAAACAGCAAATCAATTTTCTTCAGGCTTTGAAGATAACTCTCTAGTTATCAAGAATAAATCAAATCTCTAAGAAAATCTCCTCCAGTTCTCAGCTATGTTTCCATCTAGTACAAATTGATCTGGTGGCTTGAACAAATTCTACATCTCGTTTCTTGAGTACTGTCTAGTTTCCAATTGAAGCCTAGCTACGTTCAGTTCGTCATAACACCGAAAGTCATATTCACGAGTACTGAAAAAAGACTGTGTAATATTTTGGGTGACCTCAACTACATTGGTGTAGATACAACGATGCAATGATTCTTCTGATATATACTACACGCGAATCATGAAATCATCATTATTAGACATTATTTCATTCAGAAAATGGGTTGCATATGTCATGGGACATGGTTTCCAAATGGTCCAAAGACACAAACTCCCTAGACAGCCGTTCACGATGCCAATGTACTGTCGGTTCAAATCCGGCTCGGCTGAGCATAGTTTTAATGTATGATTCTCAGTTGCATTACTGACAGAAACCTGACGCCCTAGAAATGTTTCATAAACCACTATTATAGGCCCCGTTCTCCCTGCCCTACACAAGTTCCGGCTTCTGGTGATTTGACTCCTAGGTATTTTCTTGGCCTTGACATATTAATACAGTTTGGAATCCGAAATACGCCAAGAATGGAATCGTAAGGGATTAATACGTACATTCTCCAACATTTAAGCATACCATCGGACACCACCTGCAGCAAGATCTACTCCAGCAATGAAATCAATGACGTCAATTGCTGGTACCAAACGAGAGAGCATATCCGGTACGACACTTTCCCTACCTTTGCGGTGTATAAGATCGAAGGAATACTGCAGAAATTCCACCTACCAAGCCCGCTTGTAGGGTCTCTCAAGTCACTGAGCCATCACAACGACCAATGATCCGTAATAACTGTGAAATTCGTCCCCTCTACGTAGAGACGCAGTTCATCAATGTTCCAGTAAATTGCAAGGCATCCCCGTTCAGTAGTCAAATATTTTTACCTCCTGCTTTGTGAGTGACTGTGACAAGTAACATAAAACTCGTTTGCCTACATCAGGGTAACTCTGAGTTAATTCTGCGACTATTCTATATGCACTAGCATTAGTTTGTATCACAAATGGCGAATTAAAATTTGGGCAGGATATAACAGGTTCCGAAATTAAATGTTCCTTATTCAGCCTGAAAGCGTTCTCCTGACGACCAAGAGTCGAGTCCAGAAAAACAAATTTTCTCTAAGAGTTGTGTAAGACTTAACGTTGAGGATGAATCTCCTAAACCAACTGGCAGTACCAATCGAACTTGAAACTTCAGAAACCTTGGTTGGTGTGGCAATTTGCAGAATAGCTTCCACTTTGCTGAGATCAACGTGAAGACCATTCTCGTCCACCACATATCATAGAAACGTCGATTCCTCACAACAAAATATATATTTGCCTCTATCGAATGTTAGACCAGACTTTATAAAAAACTTTGATATTCTGTTCAAAGGTTCGAGTCGTGATCACGATATCATCAATGTACTCAAGGAAACAGAAAGGCTCCAGATCAACAGCCAACACTATTTCGATCAATCTCTGCCAGGTTGCAGGAGCCGTTGTTGATCCAAATATTAACCTTTTGAATCGAAAAAGGCCCCGACCGGGAAGCATATTCATATTTTACCGACATAAAGAGATAATCGGATTTCCGATCGAAGCCGAACACGTAATAATAAGTTGCTGACGTAATTTTTAGTTTATGTCTGTAACTTAACGATTGGTTATGAGTCTGCGAGCATGCGTAGTCAGTAGTGTTATCAAATATTTCAGTCGTTGTAAAGCTTGAAAATCAGTTCATTGCATTACAAAAATTAACGAATATTCTATTGAGGGAAATAATAGATTTTAAACAAATGTCAGCAACAAATCAGAAGTTGAGGTTTGTTTAATCTTATTAGGTATTTCAGATTAGGATTGAATTGAGCGATATGATTATATAGGAAGTGTTATCGAACGCTCCTTCTATGGTCGATGAAAGCACACAGAGCAATTTCTTCATCTATCTGTGCCTTTTCAATCTCTCCCACCAGACTATGTGAGGCAGTCTCTGTAGATTTGCCTGATTGATAGGCAAATTGATTTTTGTGAAGCGGACTATTCGACAGAATTTTGCTTCTGATGTGTTGATCAAGTAGTTTCTCCATAGTTATCTGGAGAAATGAAGTGAGGCTAATAGATCTATAGGATTTGGGCTGGTCGCTGGGACGTTCATCTGAAAACAATGCGAAATCTTGTGCCGCACCTGCAGTCACTTCAAAGGAAAATTCAAACACGCCGACGCCGCACAGTTCGGGATATTCTGCAATTGATATTGAAGATACTATAATCGTAATATTCCTAGGTGCCACTTCATCCTCCAAATGCTGAACAAGACAAAAATCCAAATGCTATGGTATGTTCAATACCATAGAATATTTCCAGACCCAAGAATACGTTGCATTAAAACCTTCACGAGGATGAACATTAGGAACTTTGAATGAGTAGCAAATGCATCCTTATATCATTTGCAGGAGTGTATCAATAACAAAAAATGGAGCTAAGTTTATGCGTGATGGCATAACTAATTTTATAAATCGACATGATATGGGCACATGAATCCTCATGTCGTAATTTCATCAGTTGGTACCTACCTATTACTAGCCTAGTACCTACCTATCAGTTCGGATTATCAATAAACGTCACGTTTCGTCACACGAATGAAAAACAGGGCCTACTAGATATCATATCATTACTTCAAGCGACACCCATGAACAAAGTCCGGAATGAGAATATCTATCTGGAATTTCGTTTGAAAAATCGTGTTTTTTCGTCTGGTCTATCTTTCTGTCAATTAATATTTAACAAGAATGTAGAAATAATCGATTTACATGATACCAGTTGAAAGTTGACAGTTATTGGCCAGGTCGAAATTTTAAATTCATTGGAACGATTTTGTTCCATATTTTTTTATTGAAACGGTCAAAGTGTGCGGTGTAAATTAAAGAGCAGTTCTTAAAGCATTTTATCTGATCTTTCGGAATCTGATGGAATTTTTCGAGGAAAGTGGTCACAAAGTGAACTTTTTTGACATAATAATGTAACATGAGATTTTCCCAAGTCCGGACCTGGATATTTTTTTCATTATATGTTGTCTTGAATACTTTCAGTAGAGATACGTCGCTGCCGAATTTCAGCAGATTACTATGAATCATTTCTGTAATATCAGCCATCAAAGTTATATAGCAATTTCACAGAATACCCTCTATCTACGTTACGGAGGGTCAAAAAATGTTTTCATTTACATATATACATCTCTAGTTCAAATGAATCAGTTCGAAAATAAATATAGTCGTGTTCGCTTCTGCACCTTAATAACGTAACAGTATTATAATGAAAAAGTTAACAATGAACCGTTATTTAACGCTATTGAATTCGAACACGAAACTCCTATAACACACATTGATTGCTCACGACAGAAAGAAGCTGTACAAACTGGTAGTATAGTTATGAGAATTGATTCCGAGACTAGTGAAGCTACAAAAAATGATACTACAGCTTACTGCCTGATTCTCCACAAAACGCATTCCACATACAATCCTCTGACCAAAATGGTACTTCATATTGCGCATGACAAATCTACATCATCACAGTAGATGACACCGTGAACATGTATTATTATAAAATCAGTGTTGTATCAGAGAAGTGTACGAGAATCAATATTCATCAACTGCCTTAACAAACACATACAAAAGTTAGAGGAACTTGAAGGAGTATTAGAGCTGTACAGTGATAAGATAATTGCGAATCTCTCACGTATGAATAGCGAGGAATACCCTTTTGTCTAATTTCATAGAATTCTTTTTGATTAGGGGAATATTTCCTGATTCCATTACACTGTATCGACTTCAATGTTCTTCTCAATTCATCAAGAGATGCGGGTAAAAAGAATCAAGAAATCGTAATGTCATGTATACATCATTTGCTCCATCCCACCCCTTCGAACTAGAATATTTTTTGAAAAAGGAATGTATTTCTCTTTGTTTCGTGCTGAAACATCTATTTTTTCTTCATTTAAGGTTAGTTTCTTGATGAAAAGAAAACAATCGTAATTCGTGATCTTGTTATTCAAATTACACTTGGAATGTGCACCCTCATTATACACCCCCGTGAGATGACAATGGTCGTGAACCTTGACCTCACCCACCTTAATTGTTTTATCACAAATATGGCAAGTTGTAAAAGTCCTGGAATTCCTACTGGGTGTCTGTTGGAGGTGACATTTCTTCATGATACTTCAAATGTTCATTGTAAAGTTCAATCACTTCTTCTTCTAATCTACTGACGAATACATCTGCAGCATCAATTCCGCGATAATAAATTAATTTCGATATCGAATCATCAAAGCTACATTTTAGGTAAAAACAAAATGAGTGTGGAATATCTCCGAATGTTTTATAGTGGATGGGTCATTATTATTAGGTTCATTATGCTCGATAGGTTTTAGAATGCTTTCAAAGTTTGCGTAAATAACAAAAAGAACCGTAAGCTGTTTTTTTCCAGATTCACAAATTTCAGAATGTTCTGAGGCAGATCTTCCTCAAACTTGTTCGTAGTAATGGTTCGTGTTGATGATTCGGTATTTACAAAATTGCAATCATTACTCTTATGTAGTGCCAACTCTTCTTGAGTGCAGAAGAATTGGAGACAACCACTACAAATGTATCATCGTCCATTATGCTTAGATTTTTGACTCGATACAAATCGAGAAAGATTCTTTATAAAGCAGTAGTGACTGTTTGCATTGTCATCTGTGATGAGTGAAAGGTTAACATGGGTATTTTTCCTTCATTTAGTAAGATATAGCGGTCCTACTATTTCATGTATCATTTTACCGTCTTTGAAAAAATTATCAACTCTCAAAACGTTTATTGAAATATTGTTCATCGATTACAATTTTGGAATATCATTCAGTGCGACTGGAAAATCGATACCTTCGAAGTTGAGTAGTGTTGAATAATGTGAATATGAAGATACCCGCTGAGGGCTTCCAGGCAGAAATGGCTGCGTTAACTGCTAGGCGAAGCACTTCTCATCCTTATTCCGGATATCCACAACAGCCTTCTCATTCTCGATTTGTTTCGGTAGTTTTATGAAGGGAGACCCTAAAAGGAGGTTTATGTATACCGAAAACATTTCGAAGTGTAATTTCAATGTTCGAAATTTCTCAATGTATTCGGTTAAAACAGAGAACACATTCTTTATATCATCAAGTTCGTGATTATCGATATGATGATTTTTTGTTGAAAATCTGTAACTTGAAATTTGGCATTTGAATGCACTACTCATTTTCTCTATACCATCAGCTATTTTCTCCAAAGCTTTCCTGCTATTCTTCATAATACTGAGTGCTGATGCTGCATGACATCCCTGATTCTCACTGATACTAGGCTTTATTTCAACTTTTGATGATATCTCAGTTTTCGCTATCATTTTATTTTTTTTCGATGATCGTGACGTAATGAACTTCTTCTTGCAGATCATTCTTTTTCACATTGGGGGCACTGCATTATCACTCTAACTGAATGAATGGAACTGGAACTATGACTTGAACTTTCATATTATATAGTTGAGTATATAAAGCTTAATTTGACTTGGGTGGGGGGGATGAACTATTCACCTAAATGTTCGAACAGACTTCTTCATTTTTTTCAAAGTATTATATTGAAGAAATCTCATTTGTATATTCTTGTAGGAATAATGTGACCTCAAAAATCGAAGAAAAGAAACTTGGCCCTCAACGTGGGTATTTGCTGGTATTTCATTCTCTCTTCTCCAGCATTTTGCCAAATATCACAGTTGACTTTTGATGAGGCAGAGCATTCATAACCCCAATCTCAAAACGACTTCTCTGGACCAGTTTTCGAATTGAAAAACTACGTCGGGGTTGTTATTAATTACACCCACTACGTCAACTCGTCTGTTTTAACGATTGGTGGAGTCCAGTCGAATTGATTATTTCCTTATAAATAATGCTGGTTATTGACACGGCCTCGAAACGACTTCTCACAACCAGTTTTCGAATGATGAAACTAGGTTGCGATCAAGATTTACCCACAAGTCGGATCGTCTGTTTCAACGGTTGATAAATTCCAGTCGAGTTCATCATTTTCTCACAATTGATTCAATGACGCGACCTCGAATCAACTTGTCAAGTCATGTCTGAGGCTATTTTTCCCCAAAGATTTCGTGCTACTGGTATTCACCATCTTGAACATAATCTAACATATTCCATTATTGTAATACTTATACCTATCTATTCGAAAATCTACTATGATATATGTGATCAAGTACATAAAAAAAAACTTCAGACCACAAAACTCAGAATGATATAGTTCAAGCCCAACAGCTATCAGATACAAAATGAGTATTTACTTATAAAGAAGATCATGAAATGTAAAATGTCTCCAACTCATTTTACATTCACCGATCTCTTATGAACTACAAAGAAAATATATATGATTCTATTCAACCTCCATGTATTCGAAAAATCAACAAATAATATATGTGTGTGGTCCACAACCATCTTCAGATTGAAACATTAGTATGATTCCATAATGAATTACTTAGGTCTCAACAGATGAATGAAAGGTGTTCAAATATCTCTAACATGAGTAATGATAGTTTTCCACATCAATTGAATACTTTTGAGTTAATATTATTTCCCAGAAAGTATTCGAGGATTGACTTGAAATATTTTTCATCAGGCTACTCGTTTGAGGCAACAATTTCAACTCGAGAAGTGAGTTAGAAATTTCAATAATACATACATAATTTTCCAAATTTGTGTTACTGAAAATTATTAATAATTTCTTGTCATGGACTTTCTAGTCTCATTCAAATTGGTTTATGAATCATTTTTCTAGCTATCTGACAACTCGATTAATCGAGGTCTGGCGCACTATTATTGTCCTATTACGAATATTGCTTCAAAAGGATGCATCTTCACAAGAAACAAATAATTTGGAAGGACAAAAAGGTTTATACGAAAGAACAGTAGGTTTATGTTCTGAGAAGAGGATAATATTGGTAGGGCAGAAGGAATCATGTAACTATAATTCCTTTTGCTCATCCATAATGTACTAAAAATATAATCAAATATCATTTTTTTTCTCTAGAACTGCTAGAATATTTTGATGAATCTCTCCACTAGTTGATGTATCACAATTTCGAATAAAAAAACCATTTCCATATGAATCCTTTTGCCTTTCTACCGTCGATATATCATAACTGTAAACCATCATAATCTTAAATAATCAGAATTGTGATTAGACGAAATTGTGCTTTGTGATAACTCCATTCTATAGGGACAGTAGAGCATCCTGATCGTATCCTAATGACACTGTAAATCATCAGAACCGTAAATCATCAACACCGTGATTCATACTACATCTGTCAGAATGATACTACATCTAAATTATCATTATCGCTACTAAATACTGTTTCGATATGATACGATTTTGATGGAATACCGTTCCGATGGAATACGGATTTAATGAATAACTGTATACATGGTATATTATTTCGACAAATCATTGTCTTGATAGAAAACATTTTCGATTAAATACGGTTCTGATTAAATACGATTCCGATGTTCCACTGCTGCGAAGAATCACATTTTTGATGAAAAACTGCTATGATCGAATACGTTTTCTATTCAATTTTATTCTGATGAACTTCATTTTGATGACTCACGTTTTTCTACTCGACATTCCTTCGAAGTACGATCTCATGTTTCACATTCCGATGGATTACGTTTCTACAGAATATAGTCCTGATCAATTACGTTCAGGTTACGATGAGTCAACTCAAATTTATTGTACTTCCGGGGTATTATGATATCGGCACGAACCTTAGTATGGCTGTAAACAGTTGAACCAACATAGTATTTCTGATTGTTTCAGGCACGAATTCAATAAAATTTGGGATAATCTGATTAATAATTTATGCATTGGAAAAAAATTCATGCTGGATCTGATTGAACAAGCGAGTATAGCATATGATCAAAGAGAGGAATGGGTATCCAAATTGCAGTTTTTGCGAACAAAAGCTCACAATGATTTGATAGCGCATATACAGGTATAATTATGAGTTGATCTTGAGGTCCGTTGTTCTGAACGTCTATATTAAATCCAATTGAATTAATGTAGTATGTAATCTCTCGCAGGAAATGAGGGTATTGCAAAGAAAAAGGGACAATGATGAGAAACTACAAGATTTTTTTGCCACAAAAGGTCAGAAGAGGATAATGAGAGATTTAGAAGCCAAAGAGATGAAGAAGCGGGAACTGAATAAGGATAATATGGAGAAGCGATTGGAAAGATATCTCCAGATATTGATCTCTATAAAGGTTGAGAATATTCTTGTGCTACTTCATTGATCTGAAGTTTTCTGCTTCTCAGGAATTCACTGGGGAAGAGAGAGTTCAAGCTATTGCTAAAAATTTCTTGAACCAAGAGGAGGAAAACTTTGCTATGTTCAAGTACATCAATCATCTCAATAAAGAGATGGAACAACTGAGCGATAATTTGGGAACATTACATCAAAAAATTGGTGAGAATTTATAATGTTCTCGACTCGTAGCCAGTGAATATCAGCTCGATGATAATTATATATATCTTCCAGAAATTCAAGAAGAACACCAATTCCTACTTTATTTTCCTTGGTTATCACGATGTTCTCTGAACATTACAGGATATCCCTTTTCGTGGGAACCAGAACATGAAGAAAAAAAATCGAGCTTAATCGAGAATTTTATTATGTTTGCTGTTTATTCTCTTGCAACATGATTTGAACTTGTTGTATGTTATCTTGTAGATTTGTAGATTTCACGTGAGTTGTACATGATGGGTAACCTCCCGATTACAGCGGTATAACTGATTGAAATAGAGTAGGTATATTACTTTTGTCGACCAAAAATAGGGGAAGCAACCGGTGAAAGCAAGATGTGAAACTTGTCACCTGTGTCAAAACTGCCTTCATCAAACTGAACAAACTCGTCCCTTCCTGTATAATACATATTCACTGAAAAGCCGTTTTTGTATGGAAAGGAGCATTATTATGAGTTAATTCACGTGCCCGAATATCATCGAAACCATGGCAACCGTTTTAAAGTTATACATGAAATTATTCTTGTTTATTCTTACTCTCAAGGTCAATAATTCCGTAACGAAGCGCGTTGAATTTTTTTTTAATGAAGTACTTACATTATTTCCGCTCACTTTCTCAGCCTCATAATTTTCGACATGACCATTCCGAACACCCTGTAAAAACAAATCCTGGATACTTTAGAGAAATGAACTCGGCGAGAAAATGTATCAAAAACAATGATCATTTTTATCAATCTACTATCAACGAAAAACAACTTAGTATAAATACCTGCCTAATTTCTATTCAAAAAATTATACAATACTATTACTTTACTCACATTATTCAAAGTTTCAAAATAGCAGTTCAAAACTTCATTGGTAAACGCGAGTTGTTTATGGAGAAATAAAGTAGCACAATGCTGATGATTTGTAGGGATGTTGAAGAACACGTAATCTTTGTTATTTTCGATAGGATACCCTTTATTTTATGAAATATTTGAATACCTGTCATGAGTTTGATCCAAATCCATATATAATAATATGAATGCGAAACTCTTTCATCGAAACAAAGAACATGATAATAACCTGAATAATGGATATCACATTCATATTATAAAATATAAATTATTACAGATGAACAGAAAACTCTGCATGAAATGAGGCGAGTTCAGCAGGAAGCTAAATTGAATGATTTATTGGATCAATTCAACGAAGCGAAGACAACTGCTAACTCTAAAGTGGACGAACTCAGAAAGGTTGATCAAAAACTGAAAACTATAATGGTTGGAATAGGAAATCTTTTCAAGATGTTCAAATGTAAAAACGACCCACTGATGAAACTTCTAGGTGAGCCATAGAGAAGTCGGTGAAAGTATAGATGTCAGAGTAGGACTAATATGGAATTCACAAGAGAATATTACAAATGGAGAAATCGTATTGTCAGCCTCTCAAATATCCGTTTTTTGATGAATTGAATGAATGAATGTTACAAAATTTCAAAGGGTGTTCCATTGATGGTTTCGAGAAAAAGGCTTCTATGAACTTATCTCTAGAGTTGCTCCGTTTCCGAGATATAGGACATTGAAATTCACTAATTTCGATGCAAATGAGCAAGATTTTATTTCGGAATTGATTGAAAATGAAGCTAGATATTAAGAGACAGAAGATTTGTATTTTCATTTGCCCAATTTGAAGGAAGAAAGAAGAAGAAAGTGGCGTATATACTTTTTTCTCGATATTATTGGCTGTGGTGATACGCCACTGGTGCTCATAATTTCAATCTTCTCTCAAAAGCTTCATCAATTCAACTAACTGAAACGAATTTCAACTGAATCAGTTCGAGGATAATGTGGCCGGCGTACCTCAGTGCTTCGATGCTTCAATATCGATTCACGTCGAGGTATCGATCGTGGGTTCGAGACCCACGAACGCAGACTTTTTCTGATGGCCTAAGAAAGTGTTTGGGATCACACGTTAAAAGGTAAGGCCCCCGTCATTCCTTGCTCGCACAAGTCTTTCGAAGACTTCTGAGGGTTGCTCGTAAGGGGGCAACCGAATGACAAATAGAACAATTTTAGAACAACAACAACAATAATGGGACTGTTTCAGTGAGATATTTCATTTCATTATTCTGAAGTACTAGCCCAAACTTGTTCACAAACCGTTTTCTCCTAAGAGCTCTGTACTGTACGTTGAGAGTAAATTTTTATTCCTTTGTAGAATGTGGAGATAATGGCATTGGTTTTTGAGCAATGAAACACTTATAATGCTAATCGGTATGTAACGTCATCGCCCACTGAGCAAAAATAAAAGCTTTGTTGATGCAATGTTGAAACGATAACTGAAACAGACGTTCAGCAATATTGCAACGATGAAGTTTGCTAATGAAATATTGCAGCAATATTACATGTTGCTGTGACATTTCTGGAACGTTTCATTCACAATTTCACATTTCTGTGGCCAACAATCAGAAGGTTATAAGTCTGATTTTGTCATTCTTGGGAAAACAGCATTGAACATTCGAGATGCTGTGAGAAATCAGTATATGATGTGTATATCTCATTTTGGAGTCCTTCATAATATATTACTGATTATCCCCATGTTCCTCTAAGCAAATATTGAAATATTCATAATTCATCGATTCAATTGGTAGTTGACATTTTAAGTTAAACCAAATCAAGATTTGAGACGAACAAAAAGACTTATATATATTTACATATACTAATCACAAGTCTGTAGAATCCTCAAAAAGTAATATGTTTGGCATATTTCATTTTGTGCAACAAAAAGGACTTATGGCAACTAAATCGATACAAATGGGCTGCTAGAATTTGCTTTGAATGGTATAAGTATACATATTTTGTAAATTTAGTAACTTCATGACAGAAATGGCTTAGGTAAACTTATTATATAAATATTTCATTGGGTACCATTTCTATTTTTTCAAACTGAAATTGAAATAATACATTTCCAGAACTTATCGTTATCGTTATCAATAAAATATTTTTGGATAAAAGTAAATAGAATAAAAACAGATTTTCTCTGAAAAAGATGTGAAATTAACATCGATCTTCTTTCTCAGAGAAATAACGATCGATGTCCGGATCAGTGTCTCTCGTATTGCAAGATATTATCTCGACTGCAAGATTTTTCAAAAAATATTTGCCAAGTAGGTTGGAAAAGTAAATTCGCCATTTTTTCAGGGTTGATAGGTTTTGGACCATCGTTCAAATTACTCAATTCAAATACTGTTAATTTTTGTAACCTTTTTACTTTTTTCAAGAACCCAATCTCCTGGAACTCCTCTTCTTTAGGAAGGCTAAACTTGAATTGAACTTTCTCGTTTCTTTGGTGTACCGGAGCCAACAAACATATCGCATTCTGAAAGATTTTTCCTGGAATGGACCCTTTCCAGTCAATTCTGAGAATGAAAAGAACTATTCACGCTCCATGACGAAAACCTTGAATTTATTCTTTTTACTGGCAATTCGAACCAACTGATACCAGTCCCTTGGCACTTGGATTTCGAACGGTGATTTTTTCCTTGCTCTTTCTATCACAGAATGGTCTACATCGCATTCCATGTGCGTGTGGTCTGGTATCAAGAATTTATGATTAATTTGTTTCAGAGAGGGATGTGAATTGATCGCATATTGGAACATTGCATTCACTATGAAATTTTTGTTCTGACCACCACAAAGTATCTGAATAAAAATTAGCAATCTTTTCACCTTCAGGAATGGACTGCATGAATTTGAATGAACAGGAAGCCACCTCGTTGCCTCCACGTCCTGCTGTTGACTCTTCTTCACAGTTTGAAATTTGTATCTGAGAATGTGAAGTATCGCACTTAGTGCAGCAGGTGTCATTTCTTGGTTTCTTGAATTCGAAAAAATTCCTGAAAATATATTTTGATAGAGACTGGTTGATCTGGATATTTCTCGCAATACAATTTGTACATTGTGCTCAAGTTCAAATGAGATGCAAGACATTTTCTGTTGGTATGTCGGAATAATGACTCTCGTATGCAGGGAATGAAGAAATGTGCTCATCAACTTGGTTTATTTTGAATTGTGGAGTTTTGTGGCTTGGTATATGTTTTCCCTTTCTGTCAGATTCTGTTATACCGCTAGTGGTTGATAACTTTTCAGAAAGAACAATCGTTACTTCTGTCTCACCTAGAGTGTTCAAAAAACAAGTTTTACAGACAACATGCTTGGAACCCTTTATATCTACACTGTAGACATATGAATATGTTCTGTTTTTGTTGGACTTCCCATCCACCTTCCTTCTTGTTATTTTTTTTCTTGGGTACTTATCGACGAACGAGAGCCACTCTCTCGTAGTCACCCAACGACCAGTATTCTCGAAATATCGTTTGCCTGACTTCTTCGTCAAGAATGTTACGGCACTTGTTACGACAATTGGTTCGAAGAGGTTTCAATACTCGAGTTCTCTTTATTATCCCTTTTGCTGTCACATATTGCTTTCCAGAATGTCTATTTCTTTTCCTGGTTTTCACCTGCTGTATAGAGTAAGGTTTTCTCATTTTGCCAGCCTTATCTTCATTAACGTCGGATTCTGCATCATTTACATTCTCACTGTTGTCATAATCGGGATCACTGTTAAGATCCTAAGCAACAACGTTAGGGCATATAATAGGAACTTCATCTGTTGATGTAAAGAAAATTCCTATCAGAAAATGTCTTGTATGTGCCAAATCTCAGACAGAATCTTTTATCAGTGATGCAAATTGAATCTTCAGGAATGAGAATTCTTTTTGAGAATAATTCGGTGAATTTGTTGAATGGAAATGAAATTGTGGCTACTGGTATAAAAAAGGATAGGTTATATGAATTATTGATGACCAAGAAAATTGCTCCAGAAGTAAATATTTGTGAAATCCAAGAAAAAATTAGTTATCTATGTCATAGAAGAATGGCGCATTTGGGTGAAGACAACTTACGAAAATTGATCACCACTAAAATGGTTACAGGTTTGCCCAAAAAATTTAATCTTGATATTTCGGACCTGTGTGAAGCATGTTTGAAGGGTAAGCACTCCAGAAATTCATTCGTGGTAGGGTCATCAACAAAACGCCATCTCTTATCGAGTTTTCTTTCAGGCATATCGCTTCATGTGGACTTGGACGGTGTATCGTCTGATACCATTGGCATCAATTCCGGCGTTCCACAAGGATCAATTTTGGCACCAACATTATTCCTTCTTCATATCAATGATCTGTTGGGAGTAACAACTTGCCCCATCCACAGCTTCGCAGATGATAGTACCCTCCATACTGCGTTCTCTTCCAGAATTCCCATTTCTTCTCAGGAAACGTAAGAACTCACAGCGCAGGCAGGTCAATGCTGTCAATGAAGACCTTGCTGAAATCACAGCCTGGGGAATCAAAAACCTAGTTGAATTCAACGTCATCAAAACTCAAGCCTGTATTTTCTCTAGAAAGGCAAAACTCAGTATGCCCGACATTGTAATGTCTGGCACCACCATCTCCACCAAGCTCACCATATCTATGCTCGGTTTTTTTTTTTTGTTTTTTTTATCGCTTGGAGCGCACTAAAGGGAATCTCTATAATGTTCAAAGAACATCGTGCGTTCCTAGGGAGGATAGGGACAGGAGGTAGGTATTGGAATTTTTTTTGAACTTTTGGAGATTATATGTTGTTGGGAACACTTCCACAGGCAATGAATTCCAGAGCCTAGTCGTTCTATGGATGAAGGAGTCTTGATAAAGTGCTGTTCGACATCTTTCGAGGTTGACAACGAAGGGATGTGCTGACTGGGCTTGTCTAGTTCGTCTGATTGGTATTGCTAGTGAAGGGATTATAGCAGAGATTTCCGAAGAACACTTCCCGTGGAAGTATCGATAGAAGAGTGAAAGGTCGCCGACCTTTCTACGGTGTTTCAATGATGTCAAAGAGTGAGTGAGTGTGGCGTCACCCACCAGGCGAATGGCTCTTCTCTGGATGGAATCTAAGAGCATCAGTGTATGTTTTGGTGCTGAACCCCATATGTGGGAACAGTATTCTAGAACAGGCCGTATCTGCGCTTTGTAGATCATGAGAAGCTGTTGAGGTGTGAAGTAGCTTTTCGCACGGAACAAGAATCCGAGTTTTTGTGAAGCAGCTTTTGCGATGGATCTGACATGGTTATCCCATGAAAGAGTGTTGCTGATTGAAATACCGAGCATAGATATGGTGGGCTTGGTGGGGATGGTGGAGCCAGACATTACAATATCGGGCATACTGAGTTCCGCCTTTCTAGAGAAAATGCAGGCTTGAGTTTTGGTGGCGTTGAATTCAACTAGGTTGTTTGTTCCCCAGGCT